GGATCTGTTTCTACATATTTTTCTTCAACTTTTGTCTCTTTTAATGTGGTAACCATTGAGAAAGTAAATTGGCTGCTTTCCTAAAATCCCACCTCTTGAGACTGTGCTGATACTTCTTTGTTTTTATAATGATTACAAGATAAATTTAACTAAAAACCATGGCCAAACAAATACATATTTTTATCATGATCTCAGCACTGATGCCTGGTCGAATTATTCATGTCATTCACCTGTTTATCTGTGGCCAGTTCTCTGTATTTAAGATGTTCTTTTAACACATTTTATAACATTATTTCTCACCCGGATGATTGTCAATTACAATGAAATACTATGTTGCAGACCCTGTCATATTCCCATAAGAGATAGGGAAAGTTGTAATACTTTGGCCTTTTACCTAGAAAAAAGGCATGCATAATATATGAGAGTATGTGGATGTAAAAAGTGAATGCGAAACATATCAGAAGGATACACTTCTACATCTGTCCAGGTAACACTAATTCGATTTTTGAGGAGATACATTTTTATATAGATATAACCAGAGCGGTGTGTCTATTGATGTGCAACACAGAGTAAATAGCTTCCTTTCAGCAGTTGTAAAAAAAACTTGGAGGAAGGCCCACCTTTTAAGCTCCAGTAAAGAGGCATTGCTGACTTTTTTGAAAATAACTTGTTTGCTGAAGTAACTTAGGCATGTTTTGCTCTATTTTTGAACTGGAGAAGCACAGCGGCCTGTTGAAATAAGATGGCGATAAATATTTAAGGATGTTTTCAGACTCCTTGACTGTTAAACTATGCAGAAGATTAGATTCAGCTGAGGTTATTTACTCTAAAGGGTGTGACGAGTTGTGCCACCAAAGTCGCTTTCCCTAAAAAGACATGAAGCTCTGGCATTAGCTTGAATAGGAACACTGTACAGATCCAACCTTTTGTGGGCAAGTCATTTTGAATACAAACATGTTATAAAAAGAGATAAGCTTTTGAATTTCATGTGTGGTGCACAACAAGTTTTGTTGATTTGTAAAGAACATAACAAACATTCTTCTGTAAACTTTTAATCTAAGTATCTTTGATAAGGTTGTAACATGGATCTCTAAATCAAGATGCTCATGCAACTTATCTGTAAACACTATCATTAACACTGTGAGTGTAAACACTGTCATCAGCCGCCAGAGAACCCTGCCCAACAGAGGCTGCTCATTCCAAAGTCCAGGAATAAAAGACTGAATAACTGTTTTTGTCCCCATGCATTCAAGCTGTTCAACTACAGGGAGGAAACATGGAAACAGAATTTCAATAGAAATACAGCGTGATCGTAGGAATTATTGGTCAACCAGTTACGTCATATAAACCAGATTTTATCCATGTTTTTTTTTAATGAATAAAATTTTAAAAACACTTCTTTTATATAAATGAGATAAGTGTTGAATGAGTGTTTTGTCCAATTCTAAACTATGTTATTTCTTTTGAATCGTCCCTGTTCATTATCATATAATATAACATTTTGTTAATGATCTGTAATGTGAAAAAAACTACAGAGTTTCTACTGAATATTCTGTAGTATCGATCTGCTGATTACAGATGATTACTGTATGATGATCAAGGAATAGTGTAATGTTAAGTTTTTAAGTTTAAACTCATGTGTAACAAATTAAACAGTAAAACAGAGTCTGAATAAATAAGATCACCAAGCAGAAATATTAGTTTTTGAGGTTTTTCTATGGAAAAAGTTGCATTTTCACATCTTGGATTTCTTAAGTTAACAGTTAAGACCCAGACTTTCTAATGGATTCAGAGAATATAAACTTATCAAACTGGACACATATACAAACATAAACCTTAATGGAAAATAAATTGTTCAAAACATCAATATGTCTTATATTCCAACACTTTCCTGAGGCAAACTAATTTCTGAATAGGTTTTGGTAAATTTGTTTTTATGATTATGAAACCTAATGACATTAGACATCCAGCTTAATAACATTTTTTGTCAGTAATACAACAAGAACTTTTTACATTTGTCCATTAACACCCACTAAAAACAGATCATCAATCCTTTTTTGTTTGAGTATTATCACAAATCCACTTTAATTAATTGATATGCATTAAAAAAAACCTCTCTATAAGCAACTGAGTAGTTTAGGATGAATTAGGTTAGGATAAATAATACATTTATGACTAATATGATGAATTCATTATAAAGCAGATTTCAACTTAGTAAGTAACACTTATTGACAAATCAATTTTACATGCTGTTGTGCAAAGAGATAACAAGTAAAAATTATTGCCAATTAACAAGTCATACTCACTAAAGAAGTGGCTCTGCAAGTGGGGACCATCACATCACTGCTCCCCAAGGGGATGAGTTAAATGCAGAAATGAATTTCTCCAGTGTGAGATTAAAAAAAGTTCAAATATTATACCAGGAGACAGGCCAGTACGCCAGGAGAAATGGAGGAGGCCGTGAGAGGGTCACAACCTAAGAGCGCTACCTCCACCCTAGTGCAAAGAGGAACAGGAGGAGTACTGCCACAGCCCTGCAAATGTGCATGTGTCTGTAGAAAAGGATAGAAACTGACTCCATGAGGAAGGTATGAGGGCTTGACATCCACTCACAGCCCAACATTTTGCAGGATGCTTGCCATTTTACCAGAGGTTGGCAAATTTGTCAGTGGTGCCCCGTGTTCTTCACAGATGAAAGTAGGTTCACTCTGAACATATGTAACAGATGTGGCAGAGTATGGTGACACAGTTAAGAGTCACCGTGGCTGCACAGCCCTCCATGTACTCGCCAGAGGTACCATGATTGCTATTAGGTACAGAGATAATAATAATAATACTAATAATTTAACTTTATTAATCTCACACTGGAGAAATTCATCTCTGCATTTGACCCATCCCCTTGGGGAGCAGTGGGCTGCCACTGTGTGGTGCCCTGGGAGTAGTGTGGGGTTAAGGGTCTTGCTCAGAAACCCAGAGTGCAGGCTGTGGGGATCAAACCGGGTACTTGCAACCTT